CCCTCCTAGCTCCATCGTTCGTACGTTTTCTTTCTTTTTTTTTTTTTTTTTTACGTTCGTTTGCTTCGTGATAACAGTGTTGCGTTGTTGCGAGTATATATATACATATCCACACATGCAAATACATATTACACGTGTATACGGTATCATTGATAATAGAACTCTGATGCCAATTGGACCGCGAAGCATGACGATGATTTTCGTTCAACGAACATGTTGAAAATTAACTATCGCGATTTTAATTGTGTTCAATTTAAACTGACGTTATTTATCATTATGCACTTTTAATATCTCATATATATATATACATGTTACGATACTAAACTTAGACAATGCACACAAGATACAATGATTTGTCGAGTATTATTTTTCTCATATTTTTTCATCGAGTAGATTATTTTTTATCTTTTTTTTTCCTTCTCCGCTGCTTATGGCAGCAGCATACGGTTCTAAGAAAAAAAAAAAAATAAAATTCCTCGTGTTTCTTCCGAGTTATTTTTCGTGGATGGTAAACACACGCGATATGATGTTATTCTTCCTCCACTTCTTACGATAGTTCGATCCAAATACTGCGGTTAACATAAATATCGATTCGTATCTGTCGTCTCTTTTTCTCTCTCGTCACAGTGTTGTGTTGTGCTGTGCTGTGTTACGTAATTCTTGCGAAAAGTATTAGTCATACTAAAAACAATAAGTCCAATGTGTGATGCAACACCGTGTTCTCTCTAACATGCCTGTGAATGTCGAGATTAGAAACTGTGCAAAAGCCCAGAAGGAGGATTCGTCAGTTGTTGATGATTATGATTATGGGATGCCACACGCGTGTGATTCATAAAACACGTTGCTAGTTATTTTCTTTTGATTTCTTGTTTCTTTCTTTTTTTTTTTATTTTTTTCCTATTTTATTTTTCGATAAGAAGGGATTGTCTTTTCGTCCTTGACTCCGGTGGCTCGTGTGTGCTGTGTCTTTTCTTTTTTTTTTTTTCTTTTTCTTTTTTGTCTTTTCTTTAAACCATGAAATAACGTTTGAATTATTTTATTTACTATTAACGTTATTCCTTGATCAATCTTAAAGTTGGTTTAACTATTATTTTATTTCATTTCTCTATAATCTCTATGTGTGTGTGTGTGTGTGTGTCGAGATAATAATGTTAATATTTTACAGGTTTTTAACTTGTGTCTATATCAACACTACTATTTATATATTATCATTATAGTTTTTTATGTACACACATGTCACACACACACGCATGCGCGCGTAGTATGCATAATTCGTATATGTCATTTCATCGAGAGACAGGAAACGTATATACGTAAATAAGTTCTCGTAAACACGAGCGCCGGCTATCAAAAGTTATTTTTAAAACGTTCATTATCGTTGACTGTTCGTGCATGCTGCGATTCGTTAATTAGTTGCGACGTAATCCCTTGCCCGTATTATTTGTTTCCTCCGCTATCACCTACGTTGAGTCACGATCGTTCACTTTGTTTTTTTTTTTTCTACTTTTTTTCTTTTAACAATTAGAGAGACACGAAGTTGAAAAATATGTAAACTATATCGAACTGTGGGAGGGAGGGGGAAAGTTTCTTCAAATTTTTTTAATGCATAAGTTAAATAAGATTTTGTTTTTTCTCTCAATGTGATTTATATTTTGAATTATCGATAGGTTTCGATAAAAATTAGATTTAAAAATACGTCTCGATCATCTAATGGACAATATAAATTCTGATCGAATAATACAAAATATCTGATTTATTTATTTTTTGTTTTTGTTTGATTACGCGAGTCTAAAATTATCAAGAAAAATACGTAGAAACTTACCCCCTTTCCCTCCCATCCTCGAATCAATATTACACACACACATTGAACGAAAAAAATGGAAATTATTTATTCAGAACTATACTGCTGTTTCTATTCGTTCGTTCGTTCGTTCTTTCGTCGAGAAGAAGAAGAAGAAGATAAGATCCATTTGTAAAGCAGCCATGTGGAATCATTGTAAAGCGGCCCATTTCTGGTAATAATGTCGTTAGTTTTCATTAAGAGTGAGAGAAGGAAAAAAAAACCATAAGCTCTTTCTCTCTCTCTCTCATCTTCGTTAAACTCACGTTTTCATTCTTTCTCGTTTAACAGCCTGAACATCGTCGAGGACGACGACGATGATTATTATTGGCCGAGTTATTCGTACGATTAACACCAAAATTGCACACCGCCTACGAGAAGTGAAGTGAAGAGAAAAGAGAAGAGAAAAGAGAGATGTTTGATGTAACGAAAAATATATAGAAAAAGAAGAAGAAAAAAAAACATTCTTCCTCTCATAAAAGATCATTCGGTCTCGATAATAATACTTGTAAGGGTGATGGGGGGGGGATGATCGGTTCGTGTTATCTTAGCACGATTATTATCATAACGATTAAGTCAACTGTTTTCCCCACTTGTTGGGGATACCACACACTACCACCAACGTAGAAGAGATTTCTTCGAATTGATTTCCGATAAGTCATCATAAAGATTCACGGTGGGTGGGTGGGTTGGGGAGGAGGTCATTTGTTACAATTTATCGTGTATGTTTATCGATTAACTAATGTTCCATAAATAGAAATTGATTAAATTATATTAATGTGTGGTCAAGAAATTATGTAAAAGTGATTATGAACGAGAAAAAAAAAAAAGATAAAAAAAGAACGAGTTCTTCAATTACATTCGATCGCATAGCACGAAAACAACAAGCCTCTCATCATCCTCCTCCTTCTCCTCCACCTCTCTTCTCGTGTGTTTTTCATTTTGTTTTTCTTCAATTGATATACCTAGGAGGAGTAGGAGGAGGAGGAGGGGGGCGCAGGCCACATTGTGGTAAGAAAAGGAAGAGTAGGAGGAGACGAACGCGTAATATTTTCGTGACCCTTGTTTGACATTGCCAAAAATAACCAATACGGGCGACGATAGGACGATTTCATTCGAGTGGAGGCCAAGGTTAAGGTCGAGTTGTTTCTATCTCTATCTCTCTCTCTCTCTCTCTCCCTTTCGCTCTCGTTCTTCCTCTTCTTCTCTTCCTCAACTATATTGCCGTTCTCTGCTATATTGTCTCAGTTCTCTACGTCTGGTGCTGCTTGCTTGCATTTGCTTGTTTACTGCTTGTTTGCCTATTTGCTTGGTTGGTTGGTTGGTTGGTTGTCTCGTTTTCCGGTGACACAATTTGCGTCATTCAACCAACAAAGACGATTTACAAAACGATTAAACTTTACGATTGTTTTTTTTTTTTTTTATTTTACATTTCTGTCTTCTATTCGTGTTTTTTCTTTTCTTTTTCTTTTTCTTTTTTTATTCCCCTTCTTTTTGAAATCCGTTTATTATTATCGACTTTATCGAAAACTCGAGACGTAATCGCTTAGCATTAGTTTTGTTTTGTTTTGTTCTGTTCTGTTTTGTTTGTCGAGTATTTTTGATTTAACATTTAACCTTTCCATAGACACATCATGTTTATGAGATACGTATTTTTTATATATATATATATATATCGTATAACTAGTTTTTAATACAACCGGTATTTAAAATAGAAAGTTTTAATTATATTGTCGGATTTTAATACAATCGGCTATTTCGATTATCTCGATTTACATTCTTACATGTGTGTGTGTTAGTAATTAAATGTGATAAATCGTTCGGTTGTGTGTTAATCGGAGTTTATCTTTCTTGATATTTAAATTGTATTTGTGAAATGATATTAACGATTGGAATTTGCTCGTTGGGTAGGGATGGAGGAGGGGGAGGGGGAGGTATTTATCTGAAAGAAAAAAAATGTTTGTTACGTACTGTGCAAAATTGTAAAAAATAATTTGATACAGACGTTTCTTTCAGACACCAAAAAAAAAAAAATGTATAAAATAAATAAATAATTCTGATTTAAATTGGTCTCGGTATAATATATTTATAAATAAAATATTTATGTGTGTGTGTTGAGGAGAGATGAAAAGAAGAAAAGAGGCTTTGCTACGACACACATGCTTTTCCAATAATAATTTATTCGAGAACGTGTGTGTGTGTGTGTGACATCTAAGAAGAACGACGAGAGAGAGAGAGAGAGAGAAAAGATACTTTTACATAAATACGTTCTTATTCGTTTCAAAAAATTTGTTTCGAATAAAACGATTCCTTCTTACATCATCATTGTTACTCATAATTCGCGCTCTTTCACGTTGGAAAAAGAAACGTGCACCTTTTTTTTCTTCTTCTTATATATCGTCAAGAGTCGATATTTTTAGAATTTTAATATTTTTTTTTTAGTCCGGAAATCTGAAGTAGAGATGAGAAGAAGAAGAAGAAGAAATACGTATAGCTTGAAAAGCTCCTAAGCTAAGCTCAGCTCTCGTTCGTATACTCGAGTAATTTTGTATACGTATAAAAATATACACCAACACATTTAATATGTATATGCGTATATATATATATATATATATATGTTTCTTGTATTATTGGTAGTACGTATGCGTACGTATGTATCCTACTAATACAAACATATGTATATGAGTTTTATCGCCCGTTCCTTTTGCCGCTTCCTTCTCGAGGGTTATCAAGGGATAGGAAAGAAGGGTGCGGAATTATTATGATTCACGAGAAATTCACAGTGCCCTCCTACACCCCCTTCAAACTTCTTCCCACCCTCGTACAAGCTTTTCCTGTGCAAGCCTTTCTTCAAATGGAATGTTTAGTTTCTCTCTTTCTCTCTTTCTCTCTCTTTTCTTGTATCCTTGTTTCTCTATTTCATTCTCACTCTGTTCGTTAAATGAATTTTATTATATTGTATTATTCAATGACTTATGGGGTTAGTAATTTATTCCGAAGGAAAAATGATATTGGAAGGAGGAAATATTTTTAAACGATAGACACGCAGAATTTTACAAAAGTCATTGATATATATTTGTTGACTGATAATTGTTTTTTTTTTTTATAAATCTCTAATGATCCTCAAGATCGTAATAACCGTGAATGTTGTTAATTTCAGGCAAAGCTGCGGTGCCAATGGTATATTTTCTCGTCGTTTGGACTTCAGCGCATTTAACAGCTTGCCCAGGACCAAATTGAACTCCTATCATATTAAGGTAACAAATTTAAAATTAAATTTAACGACACATCGTGTATACTCATTTGTAACGTGAATGGTCGAGAATGATCCTTCAAAAAAAAAAATACTTCTTTTTGTTCAATTGAGATTAAAACCGAAAAATAATCTGGCATAAGTTTAGTAAATTTAATGTTATCACAATTTCTAAAGTTAGAATCAGAATAAATCATGCGACCACCACCACCCGCATGAAGGGTTAATTCTCTTTTTATTATCACCGATTAATCTCGCCCGAAACCGATCGTTTTCTTTCTTTTTTTCTTTCTCTTTCGCAAACAAGCATCGTCCTCTTGTGCGCATCACGATCACGCCCTTCCGGAACGAATCCTTTCGCGCGTTGCGTCGTAACACTGTCGTCCTACCCCAAATACGAGGGAAAATCAATACCAACCCCCTCCGTCGTTGGGCTTTTACCCTGCACTTATTCTCGCATTTTCTGCACGTACGCATTTTGTTCCTACGCACGCGCTTTAAATAATATTTCCCTCGAAGAAATAATTGCATAATTTTTCTTTTTTTTTTTATATACATTCCGATTCCTTTTTAATCTTTTACATACAAATCTCGTTTGACAATAATAATAATAATAATAATAATAATAAAAAGAAATTAAAAAAAGGATCAAGATTATTAAAATTATTTGGATGTTTAATTTATTGCAATAAAAGTTTCATAAATAACAAGCGTGTTGCTGTGATGAGTATTTGAAATAAAATTCGTCTACGCGCCCGTACGTGAATTATGAATATTCGCAATAACGGAAAGAGAAAGAAAAAAAGGTTTAAAAGAGAGAGGATTAAAAAAAAGTGTTGCGAGTACTTTCGGGGTGGTGGTTGTGGTGGTGGAGAGGAAGAGGTATATAATATGCGACGCGTATAAAACAAGTCATCGAATTATTCGTGCGTAGTGTCGGATGGTGGTAGAAGGAGGGGGAGGCCTCGTAAAAGGGTTCGAATCTGGTTTTGACGATGGCGTAATATGACAACGCAACTACGCATTACATTTTGGATAGGATCGATAAACGGAGGAGTAGAGAGGGGTTGAAGGATGAGGAGGAAGTGAAGAGGGGAGGAGGATATGACACACTCTTCAATTTCGTTATTGCGAATTCATCCTTTCTGTTGCATCCAACTGTGATTCATTCGTTCATTCATTCATTCGTTGAAATTATATAAAAGAAAAAATATAGATAAAAGTTTGTCGTATTTATTATAACAGTTGAGAAAAATGTAACGGGGTGATATGATATATGAGATTGTAGATGAGATGAGATGAGATGAGATGAGATGAGATTGTAGGACGAAGTAGTTCGATTTCGACCTTGACATGGTCCTATATTTTGACGGTGTATGCTGCCTGTACGTGGGTGGTGGTGGTGGTAGTTGGTATATGTATGTTTGTGAGTACAAAGTGAAGGATGACTAGTAAAATAGTCGGCTCCCCTTACGAACTCGGCTAAGTGCCTGCGGCTTTCCGAACGAGCAACCATAATCGAGCCTTCGTTCTCTCCTCTCTCTACCCTATTATATTTTAATCGAAAGGACTTGCTGCCACTGTTCTCCGGGATTACATCAGCACGAGTAAAAAATAAAAAGAAAAAAAAAGAGTTGGAAAGAGGGATAAAGAAAGGACAGGACGTTGTGTCGAAAGGGTTAATTTAGTTTATAGGGGGTTGGCTTCGATGAGTATACTTCGATAGTTAAACTACCATCAACCTCGTTGGTTACGATGCTAAACGATTTGAGTTATCATCCCTTTCTTTTTTTTCTTTTTTTCTTCTTCTTCTGTATACTTTATTTATATTATTTTCTTTTCTTTTTTTGGTTTCTCTTTTTATTTTTTCATTTGACATCTTCGTCCCTCGAGAGAGAGAGAGAGAAAGAGAAAGAAAAAAATACACCGTGTACGTATTACCTGTACCAGGTCGTAAGAAAAATAAGTAAAAAAAAGAAAAAGGGATCCTCGGATCTTTTTTCTTGTTACGTTCTGCGTCAAAGAACGATCGTAAAATCGTAAAGTCTCTTTTCAAGGCGACCTTTAGATATACCTTTCTAACATACCAAGAGATAGAATTTTACAGTATGTTGTTTGGTAGTTCTGAGACAACGAGAACTTTTCGAATACGGGGAAAACAACGAAAGGAAAAAAATAGAGAGAGAGAAGGAGAAAAACAAAAAGGTGGAAAAATAAAGAAATGGTGAAAAAGGTGGTGGTAGGAGAGTGGTAGGAGGAGCGGGGGAGGGTTGACCTTTATGGTGCGTGGTACGAGAAAATTCCACACAACAGAGTTTGTATGAACCGAACACCACCATAGCAGAGCCAGCTAGCTAGCTAGTCCTTGTTCTTCCTTCTTCTTAACCAATTCCTGTCTAACCTTTTCTGACATGGGTAAAAAAACCTGCTGCTGCTGTTCGTTCTGTGTAACGTGAACGAATGAAAATAAAAAGGGGGAGGAAGGGTGGTTGGTTGGTTGGTGTGGTAGTAGTTAGTAGTTGTATGCATATTCGTTGTATTTCACATGCGAAAGGAGGAAAAAGTAAAGAAAGTATTGTTCTTTTTAACTTTTTTTTTGTTTTTTTTTTAAGTAAAACTACGAATAATGTTAATTTACACAAATACCATTTAGATTAGAAATATTGCGTCAAACTTTGACCATTCCTGTTTCTTGAAGAGGTAACATAACTCTAACGTTTTTAAAAGTTACTTGCTCAAAGGCATTAACCAGGAACACTAAACACAATAGAACAATGTGCGTACGTGTCTAAGTAAACTAATCGCAACTTTAATGAATACCCGTTTAAGTATATTCTTTCAATAATGAGAAACACGCATATATATACACACACACGTAGATGATTCATTCCAAAAGAACTTGTTTGTTTCTTACGATTCATATACGACGAAACAAATTTAAAATCAATTCAATTATTATTCATTATTAATTTTAACGAATTGGGGAATTGAGAATATATATTGAATGATATATAATAATTCTATATAATTCTAATAATATTAAATTGGGCAATTAAAATTCCCATCGTTTATTATTATGGAAAAATAAAAATTGTAAAAGAAAAATAGTCGACGTGAAAAATTAAGTTGCCAATGAATTATATTAAATTCATATTCATATGAAGAATATATTTTAAGTATATGAGAGAAGGGAAATCATCGATTGGTGATTATTATTATTATTATGATGATGATGATTCGGGGAAACTAAGCAACGTATTCCCACAGGCCCAGGATATTACTGGTTGGTCCCTCCTCCCCCTTACAACAAGAGAGAGAGAGAGAGAGAAATAGAAAGAGAAGAATGATATTTTCGATCGAACGAAACCGGCCGGGGATATTCCGGTTTCCAATTGCGTCGCATTTCGTTTCAAACTCGCAACCCTAACGACGTGACGAGAAAGAGAGAGATGAGAAGAGAAGAGAAGAGAGGAGAGGAGAATGATCGTATGCGTAGTACAGAAAGGAGGAATAGGAGGAAGAGGAAGAGGAAGAGGAAGAGACCCTCAAACGTATCCCTTTGCCGTAGCAACGTTGGCAGGGAACAACAACGAGACTCAGCCGGGGGTTAGTGGTATATGCGTCTCTCTAACCCTCTCTTGGTTCGAACAAGGGTGCCAGAGCTCCAGAGCCACCCCTCTACGCGAATTGCAAAATGCAAGGTTTGCCTTTTGCTCGGTGAATACCGATATGCAGCCAACGAACAACCTACCACTCCCTCTCTCCCTCTCCCTCTCCCTTCAACGCCCCCATGCCACCACCCACTCCCCCATGTGCGTTTAGTTACGTCGCTTTTTAAAAGCCGAGATTGCTGGCGTGAATTGGAAATCAGCGTACATTCTTCTTCTTCTTCTCTCTCTTTATTTTTTACTTCTCTTTTGTTATATGTATCATTCTTCTATTTTATTTTTCATTTTCTTTTTACCCCCCCCCCCCCTTTTTCTTTTTGTGTATATATATTATAATATAATTCGTAGTACTAACAGCTTGAAAATGAAAGATATGTTAGAAATATTGAAACTAGATTTTTGTTATTTTTTTTTGACACTTTGTGATGACTGCCATGTCGAATTCATATGCCGCGGTAGTATTTTTATTATTCAAGATTTTACATAGAAATAATTCTTTCATTTTCGATGTTCCAATAAAAATTTGTAATTGTTCAATGGGACATTTTTTTTTTTTTTTATTTCAAAGTATATTACAATTAGCGATAATGTTCAAAATGAACTAAATGTTGATATTCATTCGACTATTACAATTGTAAATGTTCAAGCACCGTTAGTGGTGTCACCAATAATAACCACCTTGTGATATCACAGGGGAAAACGTGTGTCAGTCAAAGTGTTAACTATTTGCATTTAGAAAAAAAACATTGTCATCTTTCTCTCTTTATTATTTTTATTTATTTATTTATAAAATCTGTTAAATAGATCATTATACGTGATTGAGAATCTAATGTTTTTATCTGTCAGGATGGTGTTGTAATAGATTGGAATTTGACGTTTATGGTGTATCGAGACGAAATAATAAATCGATACTTATAGATGGGAAAGAATATACATATATATATACACACACGTGTTGTGTGTAGCAACGAAAACGGAAATGAAAAGGTGGTTGGCGTGCCGCGAGGTGATAACTTCACACACGTTAGCACATTTTATAGAGATATATCGAATCTAGGAGTGGCTCGTTACCGGTCTCACGGCACCTCTTCAACGATTATATACCAGTTCATTTTGTTATTATATATGTTGTAGTATGTACCTAAACGAATGTGTGTTACAACAGTGTTGTGTTACGTTCTCTCTCTCTCTGTATTTCATAGCTCGTTAACGATCGATAAAAATCGATTTCTCGATATGTTAACGATTCCTCGAGTCTCTCTCTCTCTCTCTCTCTCCCTTTTTTTTTTAACGAGCCTCGAAAGTATACGCAAATAAGAAATCCAATCTGCCTTTC